TATATATATATATATATAAAATCATTGTGTCAACGCAACTGAGAATCATCGTTGGAAATTCGTTATGAAACAACATACGAGAATTATAAAATTTATTTGGTAATGTAGGATGATGATACTTCGTAACATATGGCTTTGATGTGTTTGTTGCTGGGATGAACAAAAACTGCACAGCAGCAACAGAATAAGTTTTGTAATTGCTTTTTACGTTCATCTTGCATTTTTTTCCAGTCAGTTTCTACGTTATAGCCCTTCAATAATAAAGAATTATGACTTGTGAGTATTAAGCATTACGATGATTGTTGAAAGTACTAAATGTATTTTCAACTGATAAATCATCGATGCTGACTGAATCAACTATCGACAGTACTTGTGTCTCCTTCTAATATGCGTGAGTTGTTTCCTGCCCATCTATATGAAAGGAGTGGCAAATTTTTTGGTGACATAAAACTTCGACAACCTCTGCCGGTATTGATTAATTGATATAAGAATCTAACGAGCCCACACGGAATGAAAAGGTGAGTGGGAAAAATAAATCCAAAAAAATCTAAAAATATGAATTCACCAGTTTCGAAAATTCTTTCCTTTTTGTATAGTTCTCCAGTGAAATGAATGTTCAAATTATTGTGAAATAATTTAGGTATGCCGACACAATACCTTGTGAAATATTGTTCATCAAATAATAAAAGCACTCAACACTACGAACACAAACGACCAAAACATCATAATAACATTTACTGTTCGAGAAAATCGATTTGCACCAAATTTATTCTCCAAAATCCGTAGCGTATGTCGATAAAATTGAATTTGAAGAACAAGGCTTCTACTTCTAGACAAGATATGAATATGAAAAGTTATACTTCATCACATAAATAACCATCGAGGTATCCAAATAATACAATTATGAAGAGGAAAAGTAATCCAATCGATTCATGATGAGATAAATGAACCACGTTAATGGAGATTAACTTTTCTGGTTATCACACGGCTCTACAAATTAATTCTACAAAATTCCATGCAAAGAAATGGTTTCTTCTTTCATTCTTCCAATGGAGCAATCGTTTTGCCTTTTTCTTCATATAACTTTGCCAGTTCTTGTGGACACGTATGCATATATCCTTTACCATGTGCACAAATTTCGCGCATGCGCTCATATGGATCGTAATTTCTGTAAATCAAAGCATGTGCATACACTGAATTAAATATGATCGGTGGGAGTACATTCGTTCCAACAGAATTATTTCGACAACATTTACCAAAGACTGAAAATGCAAAGTGACTCAAACACTAATTAAACATCCGTAACGGTTAAGACGGTTATGTTATTAGAGCAGTTACGATCCTAAATGAATATGAATCAATACATGCGCACTGAATCCTATATCATTTCCCTATTTCCATTGAACAAACGTCCCCATTTCCCTCTCAAATGAAATGTTTCACAATTTTTGGCAAGTAACTAAAACAACTTTACAGAATTGCGGAAACATGCATATGCAAATTTCAACGATTACAATGAGTCACCACAAATAAAAATTGATTTACTTGAAAAATTCTTCATATTTGCGTTGCCGTTTTTGAACGTAACCGAAGTAAAATCCAAATGTTGTGCCGAATCCAGCAATCATGCCCACAATGATCGCTCGCCTACCATACGAATGAAGCATATTTCTCATTACGGGTGGTGCTGCCATTTTTAGTAATGCTAAAATACAGTAAAATTGATTGTTATTATAAAAGCACGTCTTTTTCCATCATTAAATCCTAGTTACTGGTTGACCTCATAACTGCGGAATATTGCCCATAGAACTTGAAATGCCTACAAGGTTTAACGAGGCATATGACGCATACGACATAGGCATGAACGTAGCGTACTGGTAGCATGAAATACAAAAATCACTAAGGAAAAGAAAGCTTCGTCTAGGTTAGAGCGTTTCAGTGTTTAACAGCAAAACAACTGGAAATGAGCTCAAGTTTTGCATTAAAAACAAACAAACAGTAACTACCCTAGATTTGTCATTTCAGCAAAAACATTAAAAACTTACTCCCTCTAACATATTCAATATTCAAATATTGAATATGTTAGAGGGAGTAGGTTTGAATGCTTGGAATCACTATATATTTATATACGTCGAAAGTTCATATGAGTCCAATCAATACCTCTTTAAACAGACGGAAACAGCTACCAACGATGCCTTCACCTCTATCCGATCACGATCACCAAATCTTATGTCAAGCGATGAACCTATTCTAATTCTACAGACGTACTTGCCACATAGGCGTCCCGACTTATTGCCAACATCATTTCAAAGTGATTCTGAGTGTGAACCTAAATTTAAAACCCCTCAAATAGATAATATACCTTTGGAAGTTTTACTACACCTGAGAAAGAAAGCATTATTCATCAACAAAAACCATACTTTCCTGATAACACAGATTCCTCTGAGTCCGATTTTTTGAAGAACTCAAGTATTACTGTGCAAAGTTGAGGATACATGTAGTCTAAACACGACATCCCGTCAGATATGGTATAATCGATTCATTGAATCGATTAAGATATTCAGTTTAAGACATATGTGCATAGACAACCTAGCAGTGATTGGCACTGTCGAAATAAAAAATTGCAGGCTATTTTTGGCATATGGTGAAGAAAGATGAAGTTCCTGCTTTATGGGTATTTTTTTCAGAAAAATGAGTGTTTGAGTACGAAAAGTAATGTTTCGAAATGAATTTCCAATGATATTCTTTTCATATTTGAATTAATTTCCTTTCATACCTGAATTAATTTCTTTTCATATTTGAATTGATTGCTTCCAAGGTCTCAAAAATGAGATAAAAACAGAGCGTTGCTGATGGTTCTTTATGTTAGTAGGCATCTTCAACGGCGTGTCGACAAGAAATTTCAGAAAACTGTGATTAAACCCCCCTTCTATCTCTTGAGTCCTTATGTATCCTCCTTAAAAATCAAATGTTTTGAAAAGATATCTCTGTGGAGCTGAAAATGCTTCGGCTTTTACACTCCTTTGCTTTTGATTATTATGTTTGATCTGTGATGGGTACGTTAATCTTTTAATCGCTGATTCGCTAAAAAATATATATATAGATGTTCCGCTAAAAATAATTTGCTATCGTTATTATCGCTGAACGTGTAGTGAAAACGTTCCGCTAGAAATGCTACTAACCAGAAAAAGTACTGAAAATTTTTCGATAATTAGCAAAATTATTCCGGTACTCACTACTTTCGAGTTTTCCCTCAAAATTTACAATTGCATCACTTATTTGCACGGGTAAAAACCTCACTACGGTATAAAACAGTTGAAAATTTTCATTGAATCATTCAGCAACAGATGGTGATTCCAATGATAAGCACCAGTCAATCATAAAAACAAACTTCAACAATGAGAAAATAACCAAACGACGACAACAAAATTCAAAAATGAAAAGCGGTCAACTGGCAACAGCCCAAATTACAATTTCGTATTCCCTTTTAAGAACATCAACATGCTGAACATTTCGTTTGAAATTCTGGATCGTTTGGATTTTATTGTATCGCCTAGCTCAACCCCCTAAGATGGAAATCAGCGATCATTACAACTATACGTAGGAAAGGTTCTAAAATGAATCCGCAAAACTACCATCCCATCTTATTAAACTGCCCAATTTCTTATATTTTGGAAAAAAATAATTACACTCAAACTGATTATGTGAAGGTACTTAACAATGAATAAGCTGTTTTCCTCTTTCCAATGTGCTTTTATAGATAGGAAATCAATCACTGCGGTTCTACTTTGATCCTAGCAAAATTGAGTATCTCATTTAGCCAAGGGAAACTACATCAACACCACATATTTCGACTTCTAAAAAGCGTTTGATTAGGTATCCATACCCAAATTATCCTTAAAATTGCAAGCATATGGCATATAAGGTTGTCAGCACAATTGAATCTGAGACTTTTTTACGAACCGTTTTTAGCTCGTCAAAACATATCAGCAGTGATGTTCCTCAACGTTCACTTTCCTATTCTTATAGGTTTTCCAGAACGCCTTCCTCCAGATTCAATATGCTCCATTTTCGCAGATAATGTTAAGTTCTTCACGTTCTCCAACAGTTTATAATTATATAAACCAATAGTCATCATATCGACTTCCACTGTTATCTACAAAATAAACGAAATTGATTAGAATCGGTAAGAACAATCTTAATAACCCCTTAACATTCAGAACCATGAATTAACTCCCTCCCCATCCGTCCGAGATCAAGCTGTCACAATCAACCCCAGTTTAGTAATCCATCATCAGGTTTATATCCTCACAATTGCTCCAAATATTTAAATGCAGACTTCGATCTATTCCGCTAAATGAAATCGGATTCATATCCCTGTTAAAATCACGGTAACTATCCAACAAGATTAGGTAAGGAGATTGAAAGAAGAATTTACTTCACTCATCTATTGATTCAGGTATCATACGACTGAACCACTTGATAGCGCTCTTACTGCATGACTATATATATTTGATTCCTTTCCTCTTTTTGAACCTTTCTTCCTTCCTCCGCAGCAGTTGGATCAGTATATTCACCATATTGCAATCATTTGCATCGAATATTACTGCACATATTATTGTGCGAATAAATAACGTTCACATCCTTTCCTAGCGAGAACAAAACTGAAGAAAACATCACTGCACGTAACTTATTCAAGGCCACATAGTTAACTTCGACCCGTTAAGACGAGTACGAGTACGATAAGTTTGAATTTAGTGTTACAATGCAAATATGTATTTTCACACCTTAATTGCGGAAAAAAATATGCTTCACTTGTGGACGAAAAGTTAGCGAAAGTCTCAAAAAAGTAGCTCGCTAAAACGCTAACCAAAAAAAGGAGCTTAAGTTATCGCTACTTTATGCCACTAAAAATTATTGCAGCGAAACTTATCGCTACAAATATGCGCTATATGAAAAAGTAACGCGCTAGCGAAAAAGGTAGCTCTGCTACTAGTGCTATGACGGAATAGCGCACTTCTGTCCACCTCTGTGTTTGATCATTTGAATATAAACTAACCACTTTATTGTCGGCCTTTTTATTTGTCGGAGATGAAATCGTCACAGTAGTAGTGCGTGAATCTTAGCAAATAAAATATTTCGTTCAGGAGAAACTGTTCTGCAAATCAGGAACAGTTTCATTTTTAAGCGAAATATGGGTAAAAGGCACCTCAGGAAAGTGTCAGGTGAAATGAGTCGTAAACAGAATGCTACACGTGAAGGCCCAAATCAGATCTACTGATAATATCGTAATGAATTGTCTTTCTGAGGATTTTGTCAATTCCGTAATTTTAGCGAGCTCGATCCGAAGTGAAGAAAGCGATTTATTCGCGAACTCAATTTAAAAATATAAAATTTTTGGATCGAATGCACTCTATTGAAGTGCCTCGTAAAAATTAAGATGTAAGGTTTTTGGGTATAAATCTGGACGGTTAATGAAGATGAACAATCATTCTTGGGATAACACAATCCGAAAAAAATTATATGTTCCTTACAGATGCATTACTCCTTCAATCCTAACATTAGAAACAGTGCTAGTGAGCGATTGGCGGAACGTCCATTCTTAATACATCGTTTCGTTTACTGAATTCGGGTTTTTCATTTTTCTTGTGAGGGACTACATTTCAATTCGGTGAACCAGTATTTGCTATTTTTTTTAGTGAGCACTTTTGCTGAAAACGGGCGCCACTGCGCGCTTATGCTTAGATATTACCGCTTTGCCTGATGTGTATATATGTAATTCGAAGTCAAATCAGCAGTATGCTTAAGCTTAGACTTACGTTTAGCCCAGTGATGAGGCTAACGCATAGGCTTTGACTTATGTGTGAAGCGTATGAGCACACGAGCATCTGTGATGGCGCGGTGGCGGCCGTTATCAGCAAAAGTATCCTTCAGTGTTTGTTTTCAGTCGGAGTTTATTCGAAAACGCAAAATTTTGCAAGATTTTATGTTCTATTCGTTTCAGTGTTGTTTCAACGAACAAAGACATTTGATCCCGTGTTCGAATCGCTCAGAAAATGGTTGAAGCAATAGAAATGGTATCTGCTGTTGTGATTGGCGGTGGTGGTATTCTCGGCTATGTTATGGCCGGTATATTTCAGTTCGTTCAGTTTGCTCGCATTCAATACATTTCATGTTTTCAGTTCTGAATCATGGTGGTTTGGTACCCTGCCATTTGGCCTAAAGACTTTTTGCCTAAGGACAGTTTGCCTATTAGGCAAAATATCCAAGTAAAAAAGCGTCCGTTGGGCAATGTGTCTTTAGACAAACTGTCTTTAGGCAAAACTTTTTTAGGCGAATTGTCCGGTCAAGTGGTGGTTTAGTTTATTAAATGTAAAAATCTATTTTATCAGTATGCTGAATTGCTAGAAGTGTAATGTTTTGAAGGTAGCATTGCATCGTTGGTTTCTGGTTTGGGATTTGCTGCCGCAGTTGTAATCAACAACAATATCCTTCTGACGTGTATGTCTTTCGCACTTCTTCCTTTCTTTTTTTCATGTTGTAGTGCTGAGCGTAAAGAAGTGAATACTGGAAGTATTGTTCTTGTAAGTTTTAGTTTATTGAACAAGACAAGAAATATCTGATTATTTTACATTATGCGATCATTTCAGTGGTTTCTGCTGCAGTTTGCTGTAAGATGTCGTTGAGATTTTACAATACTAGAAAGGTTATGCCAAGTGCACTGGTTGCTGTCATAAGGTAAATAATGTATTTTGTTCATTTCAAAATGTCATCTGGAATCCGTGTTGATTACCTGGATTGGCCAGGCTATGAAACGTTTGTAATGTTGCTGGCCACAATGCTCGCGTTTCCGTGCACATTAGCCATTTAGCCTCAATCCGTGGTGATACTTTACAGAATAGCAACAATGAGAAATGAACCTATATTATCAGCCATGTGGGGTTAATGAACCAAAAGGACAAAATGGCGGAAGAACTCTTTTACAAAGTGTGAATTTTTAGCGTGCTTAGCAATCTTTATTTCAAATTTAATATCGTAGTAAACATATTATTGAACCTTTTTCAGTTTTGTAACATTATTACGATGCCTGAGACGTATGATGAACTAACAGAAACATTACTGATTCAAGGAACGGCGACATATTCTGAATGTTGATTTAGTGTTGTCTCTTGCTGCTCTCAGTTTCGAATTGATATTTCCGATGTGCTGCTGCTGTTCATTCTCCATTTATGACTTTAAACTTTTGTCCATGTCACAGCATATAGAAGATAAAACAATTGCACATCTCTGATGCAATCTTTTCACTCCATACGATCAAAATGAGCTCCATAAACTGCCTGATTGTATCCAAGCTATCAAAATCGTAGAAGTTCCTCCAGAAATCGTAGCCATCATAATCAGTACTTGGGGTACTCTTTTTTTCTTCCAAACTTTATAATTTTGCATATTGTTTCT